TGCATCTGAATCTGTACGAGGGCGACAGCGACGTTGCGAAGCGGCGGCGGCTGTTGCTCAAGAGCTTCGAGGTGGTCAAGCCGCTGGGTCGCGTGGAGGTGGTGCCGTCGCCCTACGTCACGGAGAGTACCCGGATCGCCATACTGGTGCCGGCATTCGAGCACCAGGTGCCGGATGCGCTCGACTTTGTGGCCCAATACGAACGCATCTGCATGCACAACCAGGACAACACATTCCTGCTGCTGGTGAGTGTAGCTAGAGCTTGGAGAGAGGCCTCCAGTGCTTAACGTTTCCGTCTTTCAGATCTTTCTGTACCGGCTCGAATCGCCCAGCAAGGGTGACGACGATCCCTTCAAGAGCCTGAAGAAGTTGGCCCTTGATTTGTCATCCAAGTACAAGACAGATGGCTCGCGCATTGCCTGGGTGTCCATACGGCTGCCGGAGCAGCTGAGCACTGAGCCAGTGCAGCCGCAGGACTGGCTAATGCACGCCTCCATGTACGGACCGAGGCAGTTGCTCAGCTTGGCTGTTGCCGATCTGGCGCTGCCTAAACTCGGACTCGAATCGCTGGTGCTGTTGGCCACGCCCAGCATGCTCTTCCGCACGGACTTCCTCAATCGTGTCCGCATGAATACCATCCAAGGCTTTCAGGTCTACGCGCCCATTGGCTTCCAGCTCTATCCCTGCAACTGGGCGCACTTCTGCAAGGAGTGCGACACCTGCGACATCAGCCAGAGCAGCGGCTACTTCGATCGACAGAATCAGGATGTAATTGCCTTCTACAGTCGCGACTACGTACAGGGTAATCATAGATCTAACTTGCTCTACCTACCTCACTACCTCTAGCTCTTGCTCTACATCTACATCTACCTCTACCTCTAACTCTAACTCTAACTCTAACTCTAACTCTAACTCTAACTCTACCTCTACCTCTACCTCTACCGCTACCTCTAACTCTACCTCTACCTCTACCTCTACCTCTACCTCTACCTCTTCCTCTACCTCTACCTCTACCTCTACCTCTACCTCTACCTCTACCTCAGCTAGTTCTTTATTAAATTTGTCTCTCGCCTACAGCTCGCAAACTTTTGGATCCCTTGGGGCTGCCCATAATGCGTAGCGATCTGGACATTGAACAGCTGCTGCTGGCCACACCAAAGCCTCGCACCTCCAAGATCGAGAGCATTCTGGACATGTTTGTGGCCGCTCAGCATACGGTGCACATACTGCGTGCCGTCGAGCCTCATTTGCGCTTCGGTCTCGATGTGCGAAATCATTTGGCCCGGGGCGGCTCACTGCCGCCCACGTTGCCCCAGTCGTGCGGCGGCCAGCACTGCATCCATTTGGCGTCGCGCAAGCAGATCGGCGATGCCATCATCCGCTACGAAGATAAAAGTATTCTGCAAAAATAGCTGCTGTACCCAGCTAGCTTTGATATACATATATTATAGTAATATTATCAGTTCCTTGCTAAACATATATATTGCCAACTGTGTGTGAGTTAGTGTGCGTGTGCGTGTGTGAGTTTGCTCTTAGTTTTTTGTTACTTTTGTGTGTGGCTGTGCGCGTGTGTGTATGTGTGTGTCTTGCTTTAAACTGAAACTTGTAATGCTCAAATAAGTAGACAAGAATTGTTATACAATTTAGTGCTCAAAGGGTTGGGTTAGACGAGGGGGAAATGGAGCAGGGGCTAGCACGGGGTTGGGGTCAAGGAAATTTGTAGCTGCCAACTAACTACACTTGCTTAAGTATAACAATATAAATATAAATACTGTAAACGTTGTGTATAACAGTTGTATAATAATAGCCAGCATCTTGCGTGTCGCCGTAGCCACTCTCATAATTAAGTAGTCTTATATAAATATAACTTGCCCTGCAAATTCCTATATATGTTAGGTTTAGTATGTATCTAAATGTTATACTACCTAATACGTAGACATATAATGAAAGTGTGTATAACAAGAGTCTGAACGTAATGTGAGCCTGCTTAGCCATTATGACTGTGGCCCAAATCTTGCCTAGCTTCTGCACATTGTGGCAACTGTTATACAGCTTTAAGATATTGATAACTGTTGAATATATAACACTTTGTACACAATATAAATTTATATATAACATTTTGAGAAGCCAATAATTGCCAGTACGCTGTTATACACAACCACTGTGAACTGTTATACATAATATCCACTGTAAACTGTTATACACATAGAATAAGCTTTTATTGTAGTTAACTGTTCAATAATGACCAACAGTCATACGAAAAATAGCAATGTTATGCGACAAAAACACTGTTATACGAACGACGAAATAGTTCTGATTATTGCTGAAAATTGTTAGATAAACAACTTTAGGAGTTGAATTAAAAATGTATATGAAAATGCATGTTATACGATAGTCAACTGTTATACTGTTGTAGATATGTAAAACTGAAACATTGTAGCAGCTGTTATACAAGAGACAACGGTGAAATTGAATTGCATACTAGTGTCACTGTTATACAAGTGCCAACTGTTATACCAACTACGTATTTAGAGTTCGAATAAGTAGCGCCTGCCAGTTATACGTTTTAAAGCATTTTGCATTGATTATTATCATTTATATATATATACATAATTTTTTTTTTTTACATAATTTTATATAAAAGATTTTTGTATTTAATTTATTATAACACAATGAACATATTTTTTGTTATACAACTAGCAAAAGGCAAAACGTATGTAAATAGTTGTTAGCATTGGCAATAAAAGAAGAGGATTTTTTTGAAGTGTAGTCATAGTTTTTAGCATATATATATAGAGGATATATAATGTAAATATAATATGTGTAAGATCTATTACGAACATGCCGATTATATAATCTAGTTGTTATATATATATATCAAATAAATGTATGTAAAACAAAATCTTTGTCAATATATCCATGTCATTCCTTCAGCAGGAAGCTGAGATCGGACTGTGGCTCATATTCCACGGTGCTGCCATCGCTGTAAGTACAACAGTTGTTAGTATAACGGATGTATTTTGAAAGTCGCTTTAAATTACGATTTGAAGAGCTTGGCGTTGCGTTCGCCCAGTAGCGTCGCCCGATCGCCCTGGACGCGCAGGCTGGTGCCCTCACGCAGCCCGAGCACTGGACGTGCATGATAGCTGACAAACTCCTCGATTCTCTCGTCTCGCGTCTCGCCTTTGTGCTGGCTGCTGAGGTCCGCGTCCAGGTAGTGCGGATTGATGTTGAAGGGCACCAGAGCCAGGGCCTCGAAGGTGGGCGGCTGCATGACGGGCATGTCGTTGGTGGTGTGGATGGAGCGTGTGGCCACATTGGTTCCGGCACTACTGCCCACGTAGGTGAGGCCCTGCTCCAGCACCAGCTGGCGGATCAGTTCGACCAGCTGCAGTTCGTACAGCTGCTTCAGCAGCACAAACGTATTACCGCCGCCCACGAAAATGGCCTGCGCCTCGCGGAGCGCCCGCCCCGGATCGGGTTTCGTATGCAGCCCTTCCACTGCATAGCCCCAAGGCTGCAGTGCAGCTCTGACGGTTGCCGTATATTTGTCGTGATCCCGCAAGGCGTATGGCACAAAGAGCACGGTCTTCACATTCTTGCTGCAGGAATTCAATGTTCTGATAAGCCGAACTCTTGATAAGATATTTGTGCTTACGCCTTGAACAGATCCTCCAGTTGGGCGCGCGCATGCTCCAAGTAGCCGTAGCCATGCAATCGGGACGACGAGAGCAACAACAAGTTTCGCGCACCGCTATTCATTTTCCAACGTCTCTTTCACGTAGAATAGCATTTAATCAGTACTTCGGATTATCGTTGTTTTATGGTGGTACTTGGGGTAGGCGATAAGTGAAAACAATACAAATGAACATACAGATATTTCATGCTGAGCAAAAAGTCAACAGTTGAGTGCACAGAACATGCAGCGATATGTCAAGGGCACTATCGTCATTTGGCCTACATTTGCCGGTATTAAAAAAACTTTCTAGTACACCACTGCTAATTGGCCGATATTAAATGGTGGTTTTATAAGATACGCTTACAGCGATACATCGGCGTACCGATATTTGCTGGTATTTAATAATTTAAGCACATCGATATATCAAGTAAGTTTTCATTTGATATCTTCATTCAATAACAAAACGTGTGGAAAATGATCGATATCAATTTTGTATTCCAATAGATATTTAGGTATCGATTAATATTTTTTTTAGTATCGGTTTATGAGGCGGGTATTTGAATTATCGAATCATTTAAATATATAAAAGCATTGAAATAACGAATAGCAATTACAATAAATTTTATTCGAGTTCTTCTCTTCATTTTGTGTATTTTAGAACACAAAAAGCCAGAATGGAAACGTTATTTTTTTCTTGTTTAGGCATTTGTTTGACATGCTTGCAAATTTATTCTGTTCAATTATATTGCTTAAAATGAAATATATATGTATGTATACATATGTATATGTATGTGTATATGTATATGTATATGTGTACGTAATTGACTGCCGTGTCTCGATGCCACGATGCCAAAATTCAAGCATCTCATAATTAACTAACTTGAATTATTGCATATTTTTTTTTTTTTTTTTTTTTTTTGTTTTGTTTCTTTAACATATATTATTATTAACAACAACAAATGAATTTGGCTGTTGCTTTTTGTACATATTATACATTATGCATATGCATGTGTGTGTGTGTATATGTGTGTAAGTATTTCGGCAGACATAAGTATGTATGTTTCAATAAAGCATTTCAGTTTTTGCTTCATTTTACAGTGAGTTTATATTAAGGTATTTGCGTATAAATTAATTATTATTATTAGAAACAAAAAATAATATTATATATATATATGTATATATATATATACGTGTATATATATATTTTGATATACAAATCAACAATAATTACACAAATTGTTGTTTGCTTTCAACATTAATTTAGCTATTTCACGTATATTTGTTAAACAATTTACACATTTTGCTTGGCGTTGTTTTTTTCTTCTTCATTTCTTTGTAATTCCTTCATGTTGCATGCTGCACGGCATTTAATAGTTTTTAATTTAGTTTTACATTTTACAGTTTGACAGCAACTGGGCTGCCAAGGCTGAGGCACAGTTTGGTTTTATTTTCTCGTGTTTATATATATAGTTTAATGTTGTTTGTATTGTTTGTTTTAATTTTCACGTTTCGATCTTTTGAGCGCTGCAAATGTGAAAATTACAATTTTTGCAGTTTATGTAATAGGTAAATATATATATATATATGTATATATATGTGTGTGTGTGTGTGTGTGTGCCCTAGAATTGATTTCGTTTGATTTATACTTAAGCTAACAATTTGATTTGCACGTCTATACATACAGAAAAGGATAGACATACAGTGAGTGAGAGAGAAGGAAAATTAATCATGCATACACACACACATACACAGACAGACTGATAGAGAGAGGGATCGCAATAGAAATACATAATCATGTGTACGAGAAGAGGGGAAAGACAAGAAATTAATAAACACACAAGCACTTAAACACCTACACGCACGCACGCACACACACACACACACACACACACACACACACACACACATACAAAATGCATGTAGAAGACGGCGGCAATTTACATTTTGTTTTTTGAATAGTTTCACATTGAGTAGAGAAGACATGTTGATCCTTGATTAACTCCGCACGCTCTACTCCTACTCCTACTTCTACTCGTACGCGTACTCCTACTCCTACTCCAGCTCCTGCTCCTGCTTCTGTTCCAGCTGCGCTTGCCGCTCTACTGCGACGCCTGCTCATCGGGCAGATCTAATATTCTTGCCACAAACTCGGATATATCCGTGTTGCGTTGTAAATGCTCCACGATAAAGCTGTGCCGCAGCAGCTGCTCGTAATTGGGTCTCGCCGTATATTCCTTTTTCAAGCACGTCGCTATAAAGTCCTCGAACTCTGCGGAGAATGTGCCGGCCGTCAGTCGTGGCGGATCATCCTCAACAACCTAAGCAGCGAGCGGTGGAGGAGGGGAGGAAGAACATTACTATTAGCATTGGCCACACCTGGAGCAGCTGCTCCATCTGTCGCTCACCTGACGCAACTGTTCAAAGGGCGTTCGCCATTTGTTATAGGGATATTGCCCGGTGGCCATTTCGATCATGCTGATGCCCAGCGACCAGACATCGGAGCGTATATCGTATTGGGCTGGATTACCTTGCGGATCAATACGTTCCGGTGCCATATATGGCTTACAGCCAGCGTCTATAGTCTTTGCCACCGAATCGACCAGATAGCCTGCGAAGGATAGTAGCATTATATTATCTTATATAAACTGCAATTGCTAACCGATTGCTCTGCCAATTGGATCAAGGAAGTTGTTCTATATCATAAGGTTTTCTTTCAATAGATTTCTTAAGCTAGACATAGGACGATTCCCTTATGGTAAGTAAGTACTTGATCTATAAATCTTGATCCACAAATAAGTTTACTTTACGCAGTTCCAGCTCCATTTGTTTCTTCAATTTGATAGAAAACTGTAGGCAGTTTCCAATGCTCCACTGCTGGATTCATATATTCATTCATAATTCTATTCCCTATCCATCCGAAGCCTCTGAATTCCTATATTCATAATTCTATTCCCCATCCATCCATAGACTATTTTAAATAGCTCTCAAGCTCCGATGCTCTATAATTATGAATCGTGTAGAATGAAATGGAAGAAGAACACAGCGCTTACCTGAGATGCCAAAATCACATATTTTCACCTGGCCGCTGCGATTGATCAATATATTTGATGGCTTTACATCGCGATGGATGACCTTCAGCTGGGCATGCAGATAATGCAAGGCGCTAACCACGCTCATCGCGATCTGAGAGAGTGTGCACATATAGAGAGTGAAAGAGATGCAGATAGAGTAAGGCTTACTTTGCCGAGCACCGTCTCCTCCATGGTTAGCTGATTTTTGAAGACCTTCGGGTAGAATTTGTCCAAACTGGTGTTCATCACCTCCATGCAGATCCAGACATCGCCCTCCCGGTACATGGCCCCATAAAAGTGGACCGTATAGGGGCAATCGCTGGATCGCATCGATATATCCAGATCCATGATCAGACGTTGCTGTTCACGGAAGTTCACTGTCATTGGGATGCGCTTGACGGCCAGCACAGTGCCCGTCTGCCTGTGTCGCATCTTCTCCACGATGCCATAAGCGCCGCGTCCTAAATCACAAATCTTCTCCAAACTATCCGCATCGATGTCGAATGTTTGATCGCCGATTTGTATGGTCGCCCGGGAGTCCAGATTACGTGGTGGCACACTGTTAACGGCATGTAATGTAACAGTATGTTAGCAGGATGGCTAAATGTTAATGCAATGTCGGTATTACGGTATTTAAGCAGAAGAATTACTGGTATGCCCAAATGTTGATAATATGTTAGAAGTTAAGAGTATGTTGATATCACTATTATTTGTGAGGCGAAATGTTAACAGTATGTTAGCAGAGGAACGATGTGTGGTCAATGTTATTTTGATATAGTAATTATTTGAGCGGGTAAATGTTAACAGTATGTGATTTACATTATGTTAACAGAGTTCTTATAGTAATAAGGCTAGTATGCCATTTGAGGCTTATTCGTTTTGTTTTGACTGATTGATATTGGCTGGAAATGATTTATGTGTTTTTTAGAGGGAAACAAGTACCGTGAATTTAACATAAACAACTTATTTGAATATGAATCGAGTTTTTATCAATAAGAAATAGTTCAAATATTTTGATTAGGCAGGATTTCTTGGATTTCCAGGGTATATAAAATTCGATCAAGCCTGTACAGCTGTGTGTTATTTTGTTCATAGAGCCAGATCAATCTGCATACACACTCTCACACACATGAAAACAAAATGCCAAAAAAAAAAACATAGATTGTCTTGCGCACTCTTCGCACACATTAGCTAAACTCTGCACACACACACACACATACAGAGATACGCAGAAGCATAGGCAAAAGCAAAACGAACAAGTGTCATAATGTCATAACCCCCAATGCACTTACAATGCCGGTTCCGGCTCACGCGGAATGCCAATGGGTGGGAGACGCGGACGTGGTCGTGACATTGCGCTCTGTCGTTTAGATATATGTACGTATGCGGATGTATGTGTGAGCGTGTGTATGTATATGTAGGTGGGTGTATGTGCGTGTGCGTCTTTGGCGGCCTGCACTTGCACTTTTTGGATTTATTCACGCGTGTTGCGCTGCACGTTTCGCCTGGTAACTGAAATTATTTGCTCCACTTTTTGATACTTTTATTGCTGTTGCTGCTGCTGCGGCTGCTACTGCTGTGTGGGTTTTTATTGGGCCGTCGACAGCGAAGACGACGGCGACGTCGATGGAGCGGCGGCGGCTGCTGCTGCTGCTGCTGGCTTTTGCTATTTTTACCACATTTGGTCAAATCGTGTTGTTGAAATGTTTGCCTGCTGCGGGTACACTTGTGCGTGTTGAGAAAAAAATGCAGACCAAATGCCGCGCTCGCTGCGGCTCTGACTGTTTTCGTCGCTTAACTTTTCTTTGATATTTAGTTTTTCGTTTTCTTTTCTTTTTCACCCAGCACTCGCGTAGAACTCGTCCTCGTTGAAAACAATACAGTGGGATAATCACAGTGTTGCCAACTCAGCCGTTTCCTGTTCGTTTTTTAATCACATATGATATTCTGGTATTTTATTCGGTCACACTAGATTATGTGTTTGTCCTTGAAGCAAGCACGGAAAATGGATCTCTATGATGGTAGCAAACAATTACTGCCTCTCATTCTGTGTAAAACAATAAATTACGTTTTTGAAAAGGCTTTCTTTCATGCAACTCAAAGTACAAGGCGAATGTATGTAAATATTTGTAGCTACTTTACCACAAAAAATGTTTAATATATCGATATATCGATTCATCGTTGCCAGCTGGTTGTTAAAGAGATGAGTGTATTTGCGAACTATGCACATATGGCCACACTTCACACACTATCTTCTTGTTGGTGGTGGACTGTTTCACATTGTTTAATAGGATGTGCATTGCGAATTAAGCAGCAAATAAAGCTAATTGTTAATGTGTAATGCAAAAGTGCAAGTGTTCGCGCGTCAGCCAACATCAATTCTAAACATACGCCGCGTGTAACGCTCCAAAGCTTAAAGCGTGCGCCTACAAAAACTAACGAGCGCTGCTGCTGCATAAAAAAAAGAAGGAAAAGAATCGCGAGATATATTATTGTTGTTGTTGTTGCGCTCTGCTGTGTCGTGCGTGAGTGCGTGCGTTCGCTCGTGCGTCTCTGTTGTATTTCGTGTCTGTTTTTGTTTTTTGTTTGTTGTTCGTGAAATCTTATTTGTTGTTGTTTTGCGGCCTCTGCAAGTGGAAAGTTCACGCGCACGCATACAAGTGCAATAGCAGAAGGCACACACACGCACACTTGTGTGTGTGTGTCCATGTGTGTATGTGTGTAAGGTTGTGCATATGTGTGTGTCGGCAGCAGCAGCAGCAGCAGCCATAAATACAAAACGCTGGGAAAATCGAATTTAGAACAACAACAACCGAACTAAAGAGAAGCAGCAGCAGCAGAAGGAGGAGGCGAAAGAATACAACAACTGCAACAATGTCCAGCACAATCGAATTTGAGACAATTGGCAGTCGGCTGCAGTCGTTGGAGGTGGCGCTGCAGGCGCAAAACGAATCACATGAACAAATCGTCTTATCAAAGCGTGTTCGGCCAACAACAATATCGACAACAACAACAAACACAGGAGCAGCAACAGCAACACCAAACAGTGCAGCGGCCATTAACGCCGCAGCGGCGGCAGCATCACAAGCTCAAACAGCAGCAGCAGCCGCCGCTAGCGCTGCCTCTGCCTCTGTTGCCAATAATGTCGCCGCCGCCTCACCAACCAGACCAGCGACAGCGCTGCCGGTGCCAACGTCGACGTCAGCGTCTCTGTCGTCTGGTATCTTTGCTGGCGGGGGTTTTGCCCCGCCTACCAGGAGTATGCGCCCAACGCCCAGTTTGCCCATACGTAAGTTTCATACATAAATACAAAAATACATAAACACTTACACACATGCATACATATATGCACATGCATGTGTGTGTGTGTGTTGATAAGAAATTGGCGTTTCGATAGATACGATAAACACTCATTTACTCATGTTTGTGTGTGTGTATGTATGTGGATGTGTGTGTTTGTAATACCCTCAACAAAGGGCACACGTTATCGATCTCTGCGTTTCGATTGCATAGATAAGCGCACGCTGCGAGCAAAACAAACCAAAAACAACACGAAAACTTGTTTTCGCCAAATGCAGCGAAGCAGCGCCGCAGCAGCGGCAGCATCAACACATACACTTGTCCGCGTCGCTGCCGGCGTTGCTTGCTTTGTGTTTGCCTACATATGTATATGTGTTTGCGTGTGTTTGTGTTTGTATCATATTCGCATTGTTTCCGATTGGAATTGTCCTTTAAACTGTCTGCTTGGAAACGTTGTTGATGAATTGAAATAGAAAACATGATGTTTTTAAATATGAGTAATTAATAGTTGAAACATTTATAATGTTCAACTTGTTAAGATGCCAATTGGGTAGTAAAAGCCTGTTTAAATAAAAAAACATAAAAATAAATAAATAAATATGTATGATGCACTTGAATTCTGTTTGAATGTACTCTATAATCTTGTGCTTATTCAAATTATTAAACAGTTGTTTTAATTAAATATCTCAGCCTTCAGTTTGATATCAAATTGCCATTAAGAAAATCCCAACTAGATCAGATCGCCAGACTATTTAATGAAACGGAACAATAGCAAGCCCAATTGGATTCACGACTCCCATGGTTGCTCTGCACAAGTCCCAATTCCAATTAGACTTGTGCACGCCTTGCACACGTGAGGCTCATTGCAAATTAACGGCAAATGCACTTTGCAGCTCGTTTTTATCTTTCCCGCTCACTCTACACAGATGCTCTCCCATTTAGTGCGTTTCTATTTGTGCATGTTGTGTGTGTGTGTGTGTGTGTGTGTGTGTCGTCTTCGTCGCTTCTGTTGCCGATTTCATTTGGCATGTTTGTTGGCATTTTTTTTTTTGGCATTTCCGGAGTAAATGTCTTGATACGCGCACTTCGCCGCGACGGCTGCCGCCAGCGTCGACTCTCCGTGGCTTTGTTGTTTGTTTTTGTATTCGCTTTTGGTTTCGCGTTTCTTCACCCGCGCACACACACACAAATGCGCGTATGCCACAGTGAGACAGTGACGGCGGCTGCGACTGCGACTGAGGCGAACACAGCGGAGACAGCGTGACTCGCGTGAGGATTGCGGCGAAATTTGTCTTCGTGTTGCGTATTATTGTTATTGTTATTGTCGTTGTTGTTATTGTTTTTATAAGTAGTAATATTTCATTTGAAGCAACTGATAAGTAATAACTATTTAACGCTTACAATAACAACAATAATTATAGTCCTAATTTGAGCAATAACAACGCACTCCATGCGTCTTGCTATTTGTAGCTAATGTAACGCACAGTGGGTCAAGATTTATTTGTTTTGGATATGCATGCATACATATGTAAATATATATAATGAATAATGCATAATATAATGAACATATTGATCTAAAAATAAAACTAGAACTGGAATTGATTTGGTTTCCAGCTGATTTCTTGTCTAGGATTACATATAATCAAAATCAGAATGGCTATAATGCGATTCTCAATTAAATTGATTATTGTTTTGCTACGGCCACTTTTATTGACATTTGTGGCGCCCTGTTTATAGAACAATTTATAGATATAGATAAAAATGTTTGGCCAAGCAAATTCCCACGTTTCGAAATCAACGCAACTGATAGCGCTGGCCTTGAACAGCAGGCGAATGTGCTCGAAGTAAATGAGCTTTGTGTCAGTGTGCATATCATGCTTACACACACAGACACACACACACACTTACGCACATATATGCGCTTTGTTTTTGACTAACGGTTATTGGTCAGTGTTGCCGTTTTTAGAGTGCAGCATAAAGCTAAATCAGTGCAAAGCAAAACAAAGCTAAATTGATATTGATAAAAAAGGCTGTTGATATAAAATGGGTCAATTTGCAATTTGAATGTAAACGTAAATTTAACTAAATATAGAATGCGTTCTACATAAAAGCTAGAAACAAACTACAAGCTAGAATTTCATACCTGCTAGAAACAAAAGTAAAATCTAGCTGGAAAGTTTTTGTGGTAGGCAACACAAACTTTAGCTTGCATTTTAACAGCGGATATATAAAACTAGCGCAAAACAAGCTGAATTGTTTGTTAAAAGCTAGAATTCCGTTTCCATAGTGGCTTCTAAAAACTATAGCTAGATCTAGCCGGTAAAATCTTGACGAAGGCAACACAAACTGTTATATTGAAATTTTTATGAATTTGTACCATCCATATTTGTATGAAACCGTTCTCACTCATGCTATCTCTTTTCTTCTCTGCCACTCTAGCTGAATCTGGAGGATCAACGCGACGTCGCATGGTGCTGCCGCTGCCCACACAGCTGCATCCTTCCGAAACGGAAACGGATAAGAAGCTGAAGATGATAATGGGTCAGACGGGTAAACTGAATATCAATGGCCATCAATATCCGACAGATATCCACGATCTGCAGCATCTGGGCGATCTGGGCAATGGAACCAGCGGCAATGTGGTCAAAATGCTGCATGTCTCCAGCAACACGATCATTGCCGTCAAACAGATGCGACGCACCGGCAATGCCGAGGAGAACAAGCGCATTCTGATGGACCTGGATGTTGTGCTCAAGTCGCACGACTGCAAATATATCGTCAAGTGCCTGGGCTGTTTTGTGCGCGATCCGGATGTCTGGATCTGCATGGAGCTGATGTCCATGTGCTTCGATAAATTGCTCAAATTGACCAAGAAGCCGGTGCCGGAGCCCATTCTAGGCAAAGTCACGGTGGCGGTAAGTGCGGCTCTTTAACCCAAAAATATGTAGTGAAGCTTTGGTAAAGCATTTATGTTATACAACACTGTTTTTTGTTTAGATTAGAATAGGTCGATTTTGGTGACAAAATTGATTAAAGCTAAAATGTACGTAGAGTAGTAGCTAGATAGTGATAGCCAGGGGTAGTAGAGTAGTGATGTTAAATAACACTGTTTTTTTTTAAGGTTAGAATAGATAAATTATTGTGTTGAATAACAATATTGGTGGTCAAAACTAATATGTTTTTATAGTAATAGTTACTTGAATGTAAAGTAAAGTAAACAAAGTTAAAATGCAGTAAAATAGAACAGTAGTGTTGAAAAGTATTAGAATAATTTACTCTCCACTTCTTCAATGTGAAAAAAATATGCAAGCGTTGATAAAAATACGGAAACATATGGCTGTAGGCCTGAACAGTGTTGATAAACGACAGGTTTTATCAAATTTTATCCTTTACAACACTAATTTATAATTTGTATATGACTGAGAGCTGGATAGCTTGAATGATAAGTGGCAAAAGTGAGCTGGAATTATGTTTTAAGCATGTCGATAGTATTGGTCCTTTACAGCACTGATTTTAATAAAGACCTTTAAAGATTGATAAGCTACAGAGGCGAATAAATTTTAGCTTTAATTGTTAAGACCAATTTATTTAAGT